TCTTAAGGGTCACAATTCATGTAGAGAGAACCAAACATGCAACATACATGCACACAAAAGCACTCCCTTCAAATATCTAGAGGTTCTAGGGTGGAGACTCCATTTAAAAGTTTTTTATACCTACTTCAGTGTGAGTCTGAAGTCAATTCATTTAATCAGTATTTTTTACTACTAACATAAGCCAAGAGGAGCCAATGGGGTATTGATTAGAATAGCTGATGGGGTTGATGGGTAGTGGGGGTGCTGCAAGGAGAGAAGGGTAACATGGAGGATGAGTTGGGGTGACTGCTGCAAGGTAGGAGGGCAGCTAAGTGTTGGTTCTGGTATTAAGGACTTGTTGGGATCTAGTAGTTGTCTAATGTTTTTTTCACCGTCTCTTCCTGCTGAGCCCAGTAGGAGTAAATTGAATATCTGATTTTGTAATGTCGAGCCCTGTGGATGGCAGACCCCACTGGAGTTATGACTCTCAGACTAAAGTTTGCTTTGATGTGGGGTGGAATCAGCACACTATCAGCTTTCACAGATGTGGCATCTTTCATTCTCTCTCAGCGACAGGTGCCTGACAGGGCATTAAGTGAAAGACTGACTCTATTGAATCTATAAGATCATCAGGATTTCTGTCAGTTTGGACCAGATCAGAAAGTAAGACACTGGGACCATTAGCAAGAAAAGCCCATCAGTTTGTTGGGGGTAGGACCGGCACTTGAACTGGTTCTCAGTGGCAGAGATAATAGCAGGTTCCATAATTGTGTTGCTCACTCATACAGAATGAAAATCAACTTTCCATCACAAGAAAATCTTCCCCATTTCTGGTTCTAAGCAAAAGGAAATTTTTCATCTTTCCTCCGGGCAAGGAGTGTGGGTCCACCTCAGTGAGTGGCCTGTCTGTATTCTAGAATAGTTAAGGATTACTAGTTCAAAAGAATTTATGTAATCCTCCTCATTTTCCCTGTGAAAACTTTCCCTTGCCTCTCTTTCTTTGAATATGCACATCATTTATAATGTGTTCCTGTTGTAATATCCATTCACAAATAAATTCATTAGCTTGGGAGGATATTCTGTGTATATCATTTAGCTTTTGACACATGCGCAGAAAATTGTGGGCCTCAGAACCACGTCGGTAGGGACCCCTTGGAGCCTCCAGAGGGCCATGTGTGGAGGGAAGCCTTGGCTGAGTAGATGCAAGAGCACTCAGCTTTTGGGTGCTGGATTAGACCTGGCTGCCCTTGGGAAGGGCAGTAGGCGTTGGATGGGACCAGGTTCCAGATGCCCTGCCATCTTTCCCTGGGTCCCGTGGGAGGAAGGGTTGGAGGGACAGGGGCAGAGGTCATTAGTGTTATGTCTGGTCTCGCTGGAATGCTTATCCTTCCCCAGCGTCTTTCTCTCTCTCTCAGAAATTCAAGGTAAAGAGAAGGAATCAAGAGCAAAGACTGGAACAAAAACGCCTTCTTCAATGAATGCTGGATTTTTTCCTGAATTAAATAGTAAAATAAAATCTGTAAATCTCAAGAACTGTGCATACTTTGTCTCTATTTTCTAGTCAACCATGACCTTGGGTGTGAAAGGAATCCGGCATTCCAATCAGTAATCACGTGGAGCCATTGCTTTTAAGAGTTGGGGTATTGTTATGACGCCCAGGCTGACCTAAACTCCTGGGCTCAAGCAATCCTCTCACCCCAGCCTCCTAGTAGCTGGGATTATAGGTGTGCCCCAGCACATTGGCCTGAACCACTTTTTAATGGCTCTGTTTAGGATTGTTAAGTGTAATTTTTGAGCTTGTGGCAGGCAGAATAATGGAGTCAAAAGATGTCTACATCCTAATCTCTGGAAACCAGGCACATGCTACCTAATTTGGCATAAGGAACTTCACAGATGTGAGTAAGGATTTCCAGATGGGGAGATTATCCTAGATTATCTGGGTAGAACCCAGATGTAATTATTAGGGTCTTTATAAAAGGGAGACAAGAAAGTCGAAGGTAGAAGAAGCTGGTGAGATGTGGGGTCACAGACAAGGTATGAAAAAACCTCCAGGAGCTGGGAGAGGCAAGGAAGGGGCTCTTCCCTGGAGGCTGCAGCAGGAATCCAGAACTGCCCACTTGATTTTAGCCATGGAGACCCACATCAGGCCTCTGACCTCCGACCTGTGAGACACTGATGCAACAACAGGAAACCAGCCCAGAGTTCGGTTACTTCTGCCTTCTGTTTCCACAGGTGAGAGACTGGAGCCCAGTGCAATCAATGTCTTTATTTTCAGTTTGTTAATTTGTAAATTACTTGTGTGTGTGTGTGTGTGTGTGGGTAATGGTTGTGAGTGGCTTTCTATGTTTCTCTATGAATAAAACCTAGAGGTTGTTTTCCCCCTCTGTCATTGTCCAGGGCAGGCCTTAGAACTCTCAATTTTATGAGGTCTTATTATGAAATTCATTCTAGGGACTTCATGATCACATATTTTTTTTTGCATTAAAACTGTGGAATTCTGATCTGCTAAGAATAAATGAATTTTTGAGGACATTATGTCAGAGTATTTAGAACTCAGGCTGTATCCTAAAATTGGGGACAAATTGCTGATGTAGTGGTGACAACACTCTCTTCCTTCTCACTTTCCTCTTCTCTGTGGCCTGCTCATCACAAGAAAGGGGAGAGGGTGGGGTCTTGCTCCAGGTTTTTAGGGGAGCCGCTCATACCTGAGCTAGAACAAACTTCAGAAAGGCCTCCTTAGGTTTAAAAAATGAAGAATCATTGCTTCAATCCTTGCAATAAACATCCTGGGTGACGTTCACCTCAAACCTCAGAGAATTTCGAGATACTGTAGAACATTCTGTGCCTTGTCAATTTCCCATCAGCTGTGGGAGAAGTTGAACTAAACATGCTGTTGATGGATGGTAAGGCCATGAATGGAGAATGGAGGGACACAGGAAAAGCAGCCATGGGTCCTACAGCAGGCACGGGAACTTACTCTGGGGTGACTATTGGGTTTGAGTGTTAATTCTGTTCAAGCAATCCTTGTAACTCTGTGATCAAGTTTTCCCATAGACAAAAAGTGAGGGTATGCAAATTCCTCTTTGTAGATCACAAGATCAACAGTTACACTTCAGCATGGCCAACGGCAGATTTTGCTTCCCCTCTTGGGCTATAAGAAGTTGTGGGCTGCCTGTGTAATGTAGTGAATGGGCTCCCAAACAAGGTGGGTCAGCAGGGAGTGAAGCATTTGTGAATTACTGAGTTCACAGAGTAGAGTAGACTCGATAATTTCCACATCCTTTATTCTGGGAGGATGAAGGTATTTAGGGAAATGGTATTTGGGATGAATTTCTACCTTTGAAACTTATTTTGATTGACTCCAAATTAATAGCTCACTCTTTAAACTTACCATGCCAAAATTATGGAACAAAAACAAATATTCCCCTCTCAATGGTCCTTGGAAAAAGAATGAACATGAATGAATGTAACATTGACTCGTTGCCCAACAAGCTACATTTTGGGAAACTCAAAGCTTCCATTAAAAGCACTATGCTTCAGGAAGCTATGTATACCATTAAATTAACACAGCCAACCCACTTGGGGTCCCCTCAATGCCTGAACCTCAGTTTGCTTATTTTTTCTTGTGGTACTGAGGTTTGAACTCAGGGCCTACACCTTGAGTCACTCCACCAGCCCTTTCTCCTGAAGGTTTTTTTTTTTTAAGATAGGGTCTTGTGAACTATTTGCCTGGGATCCTCCTAGTCTCTGCCTCCTGAGTAGCTAGAATTACAGGCGTGAGCCACTGGCACTCAGCAGTTTGCTTTTTTTAAACCAGAGGATGGACTTGATTTTTGTCTGAGTTTCCATCTAGCCTCAAATTTTATTCTTCTGATATTATTTACTCAGCCTGAGTTTGGGCATTCAAAAGCTGCCTTACTTGTTAGCAAAGAATAAAACTAAAGCTGAGAGCCCTTTGGTTTCAAAACTTTTGTTCTGGGTTTGAAATTCTGTACCTTCCTTTTTACCTATAAGACCATGAGGATCTGAATAGATCAGGTAGGACATGTCGTCAAGGTTAGTGACATGGAGTTTAAAGTATGTTGTGAAAAGTGTTCTTTTTCATTCACCAACAGGGGGTATCCAAATCATACCTCTTTCTAAACTCTGTGACATTGGTCAGCATTTGGCAGGGGTTCAGGAGACTGTGGATACTGTGCGGCATTGGGAGGTCTGGAGGGGTCAGCCCTGACACTTCCTTTCTGGGGAGGCCATGGCCAAGGGCTTATCCTCTCCCACTTGGCTGACTGTTCATAGCAAGGAGGGCTCTGGATCCTGAGGTCTTTGAAATCTTGCAGGGTGGTCAAAGTGGATTTGAGTCAGTGAGACGGTTTTGCTGAGAGACATGATGGAAGTTGGTCCTGTGCCTGGTGTGGCCTGCAGGGAACCTGGGTGACTTTGACCTCCTGCTTCAGGTCAGACTCATCTTTCCTGGGCTCTGTCTTCTTTCTCACTCCACGGAGGAGACTCAGAGGAACAAGCAACAACACTTTTGGTACTGTTAGCGAGTTGAAGAGACTTTGGTTTTATGCAGGTGTGGTTTAGTGCCAAATTTCTACTGTTAGAATAGCAACTGCTTGGTTAGGCAAATTCCACAAACTGGAAGAAAGCATTAGAAAATCAGCCCCTTCTATCACCTAACAATGAGTAATCATATAAGACTGAAAACAAAATGAAACAAAACATAAGCTTAGCCTTTTTCAGATCCCAGAGGGTTCCTTGGGGGTGGGAGTGGGGAACATCGATCCTACTGGTTAAAGGCCTCCTTTTCTCTTTACTGGAGCCATGGTTGGGTTGTAAACTAACATCCAACCAACCAACATCACTTTAAAACCACCTCTCAACTGGAAGTACGTAATTTCCAGCGAGTCACAAAAAAATAGGGAAACTTACGCAGAGTTTCCTAGGCCACTTCCCCATCTGGTGATCACGTACATATACAGCACCGTGGGCTGGGGGTGCTGCCCAGTGGGAAGGAAAAAGGTGTGTCCACCACCACCCAGTGGGAGTGGGTGACACAGCCCAGTTAGGAAATCTCAGCACACAAAAGGGTATAAATTCCAGTTGGGACTGCTGAGCATCCACTGAAGGTGAAAGTCTGGCCTGGCAGCCTTCCCCAGGCAAGAAGGGACAAGGTGCAAGAATGCAGAGCTGCAGGTAAGAGACTTTGAAGGGGGCGGGGAGTTGGAAAGAGAGGGAGGGAATCAGAGAGAGAGAGAGAGAGAGAGAGAGAGAGAGAGAAAGTCAGAGAGAGAGAGAAAGAGAAAGTCAGAGAGAGAGAGAGAGAGAGTGTCAAAACTGAACCTCTGGATCCCTTTCTGATTGAACTTTAGGAAACCCTCCTTGTTTCTCCTGACTTAGGTTTCTCATCTGGGTGACCTTCTTTACCTGTGTGAAAGTGACCTTAAGCATTCCTTGACCTTTCTGGGTTTCAGTTTCTCTGTCAAAAAAGGGCCTGGATCAGAGTGTTTCTCAGGACCACCTATGATTCGAGGCGAAGGTGAAAATACTGTGCTGTCCAACTCAAGGAAATGGATGGGCTTCCACCTGGGGAGAAGCTGTGCTTGTGAGACGTACCTGCAATGCGGAGTCTTTCTCCCTTGGAAGGCCCATGGGGACGTTTCTGGTGTGCGATATTTGGTTTGTGAAAGTAAATGTAACTTTTTTAATACTTGGGAATACTCAGTGTTGGCTGAGCACCGAGCTATGCTTGTCTGTGAGAACAAGTAGTGGACTAAACTGGTCAAGTGTGTGCCCCTGGGTTCAAAGTCCAGCTTTGCCTGTTTCCCCATCTGTAAGTAGTGGTCATCACAGTCAATGAACCCAAATAATGTAAAGCACTTAAAATAGTGCTTGGCACAAAGAGGTACTGCATGAATGTTTGCTCTTACTATTTGAAGTCCCCTCTCTTGAATCTCATTCTCTTTTGGAGGTCTTTCCTCCTCTTTGGCTCCCAGATTCTCAGACTCCTCTACCCTTGGCCCCCAGCTCTGTGTCCTAACATGGTATGATCTTAGTCAAAATCGTCTCTCAGTTTCCTCTTGAGTAAACTGAGGCATCAGAGTGACCTGCCCTTCCCCAGTCCCTCTCTTCTTGCTCCCTGTCTGCAGTGGGCTGCTGCTGACTTCTTTCTCTCTGCTCCTTCCCACTCCCACCGAGCTCATTTTGCCCAGTTCTGCCTTCCCAAGAGGTCTGTGGTGAGTTTGCTTGCCCAGCGCAGTGTGATGTTCCCACATGTGCAGGCAAAAAGGGGTATCTTCCTACAAACCTCATCTAAAACCTGCTTCATTTGCATTGTGTTCTTTTCCATTTGATAGCTACTTTGGTATTAGCTTTAGTCTTAGCTAAGAGGCAAGAATGAAGCTTAACTTCTGCCATGTGTTGTCAGTTGGCCTGGGAGCCCCTTTCCGCTTCCTGCTAGCAGGCCTTTCCCTCAGAGACCCCTCCCCACTCAACCTCCAATGTCCAACTGTTTGATAACTAAAACCAAGCGAGCCAAAACCCACATGGAGCCTGATCCTTCCACACCCCAGGATAGTGGAGTCAGCCTATAGTAAGGACACAGCCAGAGTGGTGCAAATAGTGCAGATTCATGGTTTTTTTTTCGGGGGGGGGGATGTTGTGTGGTTTGAACTCAGGGTTTCATGCTTGTTAGATAGGCTGGTGCTCTACTTCTTGAGACATACATACATGCCTCTAGCCATTTTTTCCTCTGGTTATTTTGGAGATAAGGTCTTGCTTTTTGCCCAGGCCTGTGTGACCTGCAGTGATTTTAAGCTTCCTGTCATCACTGGAATGACAGATATGTACCAATACACCCAGTGTATTGGTTTCTTCAGTTGAGATGGGGATCTCAGCAACTTTTATTTATTTATTTTTTAAGCAGGGCTGGCTATGAACTGCAATCCCACCAATCTCAGTCTCTCAAGTAGCTAGAATTACAGTCACGAGCCACAACGCCCGGCTTCATAGTGCTTTTTTTATGTTACTATCACCTGCTTTCCATGTGGGGACACTTCATGATAATGACTGTGGTCAATAGTCCTCAACCTTAAGTCTGCATCACAATCGCCTGGCCGTTTTATTAAGCAAAGATTGCTGGACTCACCCAGATTTTCTGATTCAGTAGTGTGGGTAGGGGCTGAGGACTTGCATCTCTAATTTAAAGATCCCAGGTGATTCTGGGACTGTTTGGTGACCAGCTTTTGAGAATCAGGTCCTTACGAGATAAGAGAAGCTTTCATGTCCAGGTTTCATGTGAGGAGTTATTTGGGGACAGGGGCCTTTTGAGATCACTGCTTCTTTGCATTCCCTGGGAGTCTTGTTAATATGCAGATTATTCTTATTCCTTAGGTTTTATTGTTATTCCTAAGGTAGGACTGTAGAATCTGTATTTCTTATAGTCATTGTTCATATTGCTCGTCCACAGACCATACTTTGAACAACAAGTCTTTAGGTCTTCTTATTTGAGAGCAAGGAGGAAGTTAATTTAAAGCATTGGTAGATTTTAAGTTTTATGGAGCTAATAGTCATTCAAATGTTTTCTTAAATATGTGTGGTAGGCAGATTTCTAGGATGACTCCCACTGATTCATACACTTGTACATCACTTCCCCTTGAGTGAGGCTGGGATGTGTGAATAGATAGACTATCATAGCTGTGGCCTTGATTACCTTATATGGTAAGGGTGAAGGTATTTTTGGATGTAATTTAGATTCTCAATCAGTTGCCTGGAAGTTAATTCAAAGGAAGAGCACACTGGGTGGGATTGACATAAGTAGCCTGGCTCTTTATAAGAGAGTCTAGAGGTCAGAGTCAAGGGGCCAGAGAACTTTGAAGCCATAGCAGATGTTGTTCTTTTGGACTTGGAGAAACAGATTATCCTGTTGTGGAGAGAGTCATGGGGCAGCACCGCATGGTCTACTGGGTCCTGTGCCTGCCCCCAGTGGACAGTTAGTAAGAAAGTCCTCCAATTACAACAATCATGTGGACTTGGAACAGGACCCCAAGCTCAAGGAAAAAAATGCAGCTCAATGGACACCCTGACTTCAGTCTTGTGGGGGTTTGGGCAGAAACTCCATCTAAGCTGAGCCCGGACATGAGACCTAAGGCAAATGGGGCTAAGCTGCTGAGTGTGCAGTCACCATTTACACAGAAGTGGAAAACAAATTCTTCTCTTGATTGCTGCACATACCAACCCAAGTTACAATGCAGTGACAACTACAACAGTTCCGTTGATTTCTTGCTCATGCAATATTATCATTGGTCAAGTATGTCACACTATGGTAGCTCATCATAGCCATTTAAGGATCCATGTCCCAAACAGTATTTTCAGAGACCATCTGCTGGGTGCATAGTTTTGACGGGAGTGCTGGGGTGGGGGGATAACTTCCTCACAGACTAACCACTGGACATGAAACTTTCTCGTATTTCCTAAGAAAGTGGTTCTCAAAGTGTGGTCCCTGGACTAGCAGCTTCAGCATCACTTGGCAACTTGTTAGAGATGCAAGTCCTCAGGCCCCTCACTCATCCACAATACTGAGTCAGACATAGCAGGGGCAAATGGGTGGACCAGTAGATGGGAGTAGACCTTGGCATGTCAGGACGGCATGACTGTGCTACATGGCATCAATACGGAAGGGCTCAGGTTCACTATGGCCAGAGAAGAGAGGGCTGGATTGAACACCAGTTTTGAAATGGGTAGGCCTGTGATGTGAAACGCCCAACTTCAAGGTTGCAGAAAAGAAACAATTGTTGTACTCCAAAGTAAAAAATAGCAGGCATTGGTGAACATGGGTATACTGTGGCTGCCACATTGCCTTCCTTAGTGAGGTCGGCTGGACTGGCAGGGAAGGGTAAAGGATTTCAGATCACATGCGTCATAGTGCTGTTCTCAACACCAGGAACAAGCTGGAGGGGCATCTGAAAGCTGTGAGAAGCCAGAGGGTTGAGTGTGGGGAAAGAATACTTACCCACAGTCCTAGGGTACGGCCAAAGGATTCCTAGGGGGGACTTTTGCAGTATGTGGAAAACCCAGGGAATCTGGGCTGTCTTTAGGTCAAAGATTGGGTTTTCTTACAGCAAGGAATCTTCCCACACAGTACAGATAAAAACAGATAAAAACTTACTGGGCTTCTCTTTTCTTTCTTTCTTTCTTTCCTTCCTTCCTTCCTTCCTTCCTTCCTTCCTTCTTTCTTTCTTTCTTTCTTTCTTTCTTTCTTTCTTTCTTTCTCTCTCTCTCTCTCTCTCTCTTCTCTCTCTCTCTCTCTCTCTCTCTCTCTCTCTCTCTCCCCCTCCCTTCCTCCTTTCTCTCTCTCTCTCACTTTTATCTTTCTCATGGTACTCTGAGTGCAGAGCTCATGATAGCTGCTGTCCTTGGTGGCCTCAGAACAACCTCTTCTGTATCTGGGCATATTTTTCCTGAGAATAGGAGATAATCTTTCAAAGAATAAAATGAAAATCCTGCCTGTATGAAATCTTAACAATTTTGGAAGAAAATACTTCTAAAGTAGATATTGCATGGTGAAAACATATACTCACCACAAATCATTGTCCCTCAAATGTACCATTATCAACTTTTCTAGGAAGAATCTCATTTGGCTTCTTGAGGCCTCTTTCTGTTAAGGAACTTTCTGCCACTACATGCTATCTCTATCTCAGTTGGCTCAAATTTTCCCCTCTTGGATTCATCCAGTTTCTTTTGGCTAGATGCTCAGTGCTCATTTGTCATTGGTACCTTCTAGGAGCCAAGAAGATGTATTCCCTGAGAATGGTGGGGAATGTGGCTGGTGCTTATCTGCTGATCTGGAGGTCTTCACTGGCTTTCACAGAGATGTCCCTACACCTGCTTAGTCAAGAAGTGACTCCAGTAGGGTTCATGATTAAGAAAAGCCCATGGGAAAATCCTAAGGTGTGTCAGAGCCAATCTTCTGGTTGACTTGTCCTTTCTGTGCCTTCCACTAGCTCCACAGGTCCTCTGTGTTTGGCCATGATCATGTGTCTTCCCTAGTTCAGGTGATGTTCAAAATATTTAGCAACTAGTGAGTTACCAGCACCAACCAATCAGAATGGAAACTGCAGTATCCATTGCTGGACCATGAGGACCTTTGGGGAAAAGCTAAGGTAGCAGAGAGTAGGGAGCTCAGGGCCTTGGCAAAG